ATGGTCGATTGGTTGTGCTGAAGGATGTGCTACTCATACCAGGGCTGAAGGCCAATCTGATATCGCTGCGCAAGCTAGGTCAGGCCGGAGTCAGCACAAGCACCAATGGATCCAAGACATTCAAGGGGTTGCAAGAAGATTGTGTGCTATGGGATCTACACGGAAGCAGAGATGTCTTCAGATCCATGTTGCAGATCCCTGCGCTGATATGGGAATCAACAAAGAAGGAGATGAGAGCAGTAAAGGAGGGATTTGGAGTCCAGGGGGAGTGCAATACAGTCAGTGCAGCAGGAGTGAGGATTTCAGCAAGGTAGGGGGAGACTGATTGGGAAACCGCACACAGGCTTCTAGGGGATGTGGCATTGCTGCAACAACTGCATAAGGAAGATGTAGTAACGGGGCTGAAGCTTTCTGGGGAACCACATGATACCAACCGCGAGACGTGTTTGGGAAGAGCAAGAAAGCACTGGAACTGGTACACATGGACCTAGTAGGACCATTTCCAGTTCGAGGAAGTAAGGGGAAAAGGTACTTCCTAACAATAGTTGATGACTGGAGTTGGCTGATGTGAGAGTACGACTCCGTTACACCACTTGGCCTTTTCCATATTTCATCTTCATTTCATTCCTCTTTTTATCTCACCTCCTTTTGCCTCATATTCCCCATTTTCCATTATCCTTTGGTTTTCTTCCTTTATTATTATTATATCACCGACCAGGCATGGAATGTTCTAGACACGCTATCTAGCGTAATCCTGCTGTAATCCCTTAAAGCCAATAGCCTCGCGTGGCTATACGCAGGGTGATTCTATCTTCTAGAAGGGTCTATTCCCTTAGGATAAGATAAACCTGGTTACCTGATGTACTCTGGAAGTATAAAAGCGCCTTGTAGTGATCGATAGTGCAACCTTTCCTCGACACATTCGATCCTGTGACACTTGGTAATCAGAGCTCTTCTCACTCGGCCGCGCTCAGCTAAGCAGCAGCAGCGGGGATCCTGCCTCGAAAAACCGCCGGGGGCGACCAATTCGACGCCGATTCTGGTAAGCACCAGCTCCGCGATTTTCGAATTACCCCCTCCGTGCGTGTTTTGAACAGGATGGCAACCTTCGACAACACCGAGGTTACCCAGCAGCTCTTCGCGCGCATCGCAGCCCTTCAGGAGGAAATGCGAGCAGATCGCGAAGCGTGGCGAAACCAGTTCGAGCGAGTAACTCGACTCGCCGGAGCGCAGCACGAGACGACAACGGCGACGACGCAGCAGTCGCAGCAGTTTCTCGAGGCTCCGAAACCGCGCCCACCTGAGCCGTTCGATCCGAGCGATCGAAACTCCGACGCCCGCAGATGGATCGCTGGGATGGAGATCTACTTCGCAGCCGTCGGATGGAGCTCGCCAGTCTGGGACGGTCAACGCGTACGACTCGCGGCGACACTGATGCGAGGGCCGGCACTCGAGTGGATTGGCGGCAACAGTACTTTCATCCACGGTGAAGCCACGTGGCAGCAGTTCCGCGCCGACCTGCTGAAACGATTCGAGCCGATAAATTCGAGTTTTCTTGCCCGCGAAAAAATTCATCGTCATCGACAGTTCGGGAGTGTAGCACAGTACACGCAGCAGATGGAGGAATTTTATAACCGCATTCCCGACCTGACCGAAGGGGAAAAAGTGCAATCGTACCTCGCAGGGCTGAAGACCGAAGTCAAACGACAAGTCGCAGCGTCAAACTACGCGAGCTACAGTGACGTCGTTTCGGCCGCGGAGCGCTTCGACATGGTCAACGCCGGAACACGACGGACGCACGTCGGCAGTACGCGACAGGGCGACCGCTCGGCTCACACCACGTTCGCCGACCCGATGGAAGTCGACAGATTCGAGGGGCGGCCACGTCCGAAAAACACCAACTACACGTGTGATTTTTGCGGGGTGCCGGGCCACCGAATCTTCGACTGCAACAAAATGAAGGCCGCACGCGCAGAGTATCGGGCACGCAACAGTGGCGGAAATCTTCCGGCCAATCAGAAGACAAAAAACGGGAGTCGCCAGTGATTGCGGATCTAGCTGGCGAAAATAAAAAGATCCGAAAGCGGCCGCGGGATTCCGGAAAAATCAACTTCGACGAAGCTGATTCGACGCGAGAAGGAGGAAATGATGGGGGAAAATCTCCACCCCACGACCAGTCTTCGCCAGGGAAAATCGCCGAGGAAAAATACGACTCCGCGAAAAAAGACTCTGCCGAGACAGGGAAACTCCTTGAAGACCCAAGAAATTATAAGAATTCGTTAAAGTTATCTTATAAAGATGCTTTAATGAAAACTTATGATGTTCGAGGGGCTAGAGCCTTGGAGAAAATTCGGGAGGGACTCCAAAAGAAGCAGACAGCTGTGGAGATTATACCGGTACCGGACAACTTGGGGACCAAATTAAGGAGTGTGGAAAGAAGCCGACCTTTCCACGGAGTCAACGTCCTCTCCCGACACCAGCCCACAACGACTACCCGCTCCCCAGGGAAGACGTCGGTGGAGCTGAAGCAGCTCAAGAGGAAGCTGGGGGTCTACAAGAAGCTGCACAAACCCCGAACTCCTTCTACGGATGCATCCAGTTCTTCGGCATCAATGACGCGCACAGTCGTCAAGGAAACTCCGGGCCCTGGAGAAGAGCCGTTCTCCAAGCAGCCTCGGCCAGCTGCCAGCTCAGGAGTAGACAACAACACAAAGGTGTGTACGGAATATTGGGATGTACCCTATGACCCAATCAATGAAACTATCTTTGGGTACTCCGAGCAACGACTGCCCCTCGTGCTCGAGGTCATCTGCAAAGGACGACGCCTCCAAGCACTCGTGGACAGCGGAGCATCACACACCGTCTGCGACAAGGCAATGATCGACCGACTCCGGGAAGAGTACAAGCCTTCAGGATTCTCTGCAACGATGGTGGACGGCAGCAAGTTACCAGTACACGGCGAAGCAGTGCTACATCTACAAATCGGACCACTGCGCTGGAGACCTGCACTCCCCATCACCAACATCAAAGGGCTTGACTTGATCTTCGGGCGAGACTTCCTGAAAAGATTCAACCCCGAGATCAACTGGGTGAACCGCACCGCAAGCATCTACAACAATGGACGGAGAGTACAGCTACCCAACTGGGACGATACTGGAGATATCCCAGTGGAGACACTCGCACGATTCGAGAAGGATGTGAAGCGGACCGACACCGGGTTCCTGGCGATAGCAACAGAGGTGGAGAATGACGGAGAGAAAGCCTCGGAAACTCCAGAAAAAATCAAGGAATTACTGAAGGAGTTCCAAGACATTCTTCCTGACGATCTTCCGAACGAGCTACCGCCATACCGAACGCATCAACACGAGATCGTGGAGGAACCGGGTTCGAAGCCGACCTTCCGAGCACCATACCGGCTCAGCCCTACGGAGCTGACCGACATGAAGAAGCAGATCGAGTATCTCCTAGCCAAAGGACTCATCCGACCGTCTACTTCGCCATACGGTGCCCCAGTACTCTTCACACCGAAACCAGACGGAAGCCTGCGCATGTGCATCGACTACCGAGCTCTTAACAAGCAGACCATCAAGAATAAATATCCGATACCGCGAATCGATGACCTGCTTGACCAGCTTCGGGGAGCCACGGTATTTTCCAAACTGGATCTGCGGTCCGGATACTGGCAGATACGGATGGCGGACAACTCTATCCACAAAACTGCTTTTCGAACTCGGTACGGATCGTACGAGTATTTGGTCATGCCGTTCGGACTCACCAACGCGCCGGCAACGTTCCAAGCCGAAATGAACCACATTCTACGACCACTTCTGGACGAATGCGTGGTGGTGTACTTGGACGACATACTCATCTACTCGCGCGACATGAAGCAGCACGTCGAACACCTGCGACGCGTCTTCGAAATTCTTCGACGAGAACGATTCTACGTCAAACTGTCCAAGAGCGAATTCGCCCTGGAGAAAGTCCAATTTCTAGGACACTTGGTGAGCGCTCAAGGAGTTCACGTCGACCCCAAGAAAGTCGAAGCCGTACGTACGTGGAAGACACCCGAGAACGTGAAGGAGTTGCAGCAGTTCCTAGGCTTCGCTAATTACTACAACAGGTTCGTGCCACAGTATGCGAAACTCGCGGCACCACTCACGAATCTGCTGAAGAAGAACACGCCCTACAAATGGGAGACGAAGCACCAGGAAGCCGTGGAGCAGCTGAAACAAGCACTAACGTCCGCACCGGTGCTCATCTTGCCAGATCCCGAACGCGACTACGTAATCGAAGCTGACGCCAGCGACCAGGCAGTGGGAGCAGTCTTAATGCAAGACCAGGGGAATGGACTGCAACCAATTGCCTACCTCAGCAAGAAACTGCACGGGGCAGAACTCAACTACCCGATACACGACAAAGAGGCTCTTGCTATCGTCATCGCCTTCAAAGCGTGGAGATGCTATCTCGAAGGACGAAGAACGACCGTCTACACCGACCACTGCAGCCTGAAATATTTGAAGACACAACCCAACCTTTCCAGGCGGCAGGTCCGGTGGATCGACTTCCTCGAGACACACTTCCACTACGACATCGTGTACAAGCCCGGCCACAAGAACAAAGCAGACGCTCTCAGCCGGCCTGCACACGTTGCCGCGATTCAGGTCGAAGGGATGAATCCACTACTCAAGGGACTCTTCACCCACGGGTACGCCATCGACCCCGAAATTCCCTTGGCAGAAAAGCGACATCTGCTACAGTGGGACAGTGCCATCGCGTACCGGAAGGGATCCACAAAAATCTGGGTACCCAATTACCCTCCTTTGCGCCAGTTACTACTCGAAGAATACCACGACGTCCTGTACGCCGGACACTTCGGTAGCAACAAGACGCTCACCGGTATCGCCAAACACTACTACTGGCCCCATATGGCAGACGACGTCCAGAAATTCTGTTAGGATTAAGGACAGAGTCTAGGTGAACTTAGGAGCTAGAATTACTCAAAATATAAATCCGAAATTCTGGACAGAAAAGTCGTCTTCACAAGAAACGACGTCGACAAAACACTAGCGGTTGGAATGTCGCGAAACTTGGATATGTTGTAGCTCTTGATCTCAGCTACCGTTCCCAATTTGAATCACGTTGATTGATGAAGTATTCGCGACGCTATGGCTTTCGACGCATTAGGGGGTAAGCTGTAGGAGGAGAACTTAACTCAATCTCAAAGGTTCAATCAAAGTTCAAGAATCTCACAAGGAATTTAGAGGAGCAAGAGAAAGGTTGGGATAGAAGAGAGGGATGAGAGGAAAGGTCCCAAGAGAGTCCCCAACCAAGGAAACCCCATAAGCACAAAGATTCCCTCCCTATAGGAACCTCAACTTTGACCTTTGTCCCTTCCCAACCAATCCATCCAAGTTGGCCACCCTTGCCAACCTAGCTTGGTTGTTCCCAACCTATTTGCAGCTGTTACAGTAGAGTGACAAGTTTACCCAACCCCAAAGGTCCCAACTCCATATAAAGTCACCCCACAACTTCACTTTGTAACCGCCGCAATTGTAACGCAAGCTCATGAACTTTGAATCTTCATAGCTTTCGCGTTCTTGCTCCGATTGAAGCGATTCTTGTTGCGTCGGAAAGATCTTCTCAAGATCTATCATCAAAATACCTGCTCAAACAAAAATAACACAGAACACATTCCCAAACTCCAGAACACACCACACACAAATTCTTTCACATTCAAACCACACATGCAAGTTGAAAACATGGGATGGGAGGCAGACAGAATGTGATAGCATATGATGACATCACACAACAATCTCCCCCTCTGGCTGCCAACCATCATCGACCATACCACATCTCAAGCATGCATACTCAATGCACACTCATCCCAGCAAGCTTCATGCCCTTCCAATGATCCGCCTCCGCCAGACGCTTAGTGAAAATATCTGCTGCCTGCTGATGGGTCTTCACTATCTCCAGCCGCACCTCCTTATCAAGGATTCTCCTCACCCAATGCCACTTAGGCCTTATGTGTTTTGTCAGCCCATGCAGACAAGCATTCTTGGCCAGCTTCACTGCAGACTCATTGTCACAGAACACAACTGTCGGCTCCTCCTGACCAACTCCCAACTCCTCCAACAAACGCCTCAGCCATACCACTTCCTTGGCCCCATGGTGTAAGGCCATGTACTCAGTCTCACATGAAGACAATCCCACCTCATTCTGCTTCTTGCTGCGCCAGCTCACAGCACCACCTCCCAGCAAGCACACATAACCCCCAATGCTGGTGCCATCCGCTTTCACTGAGTTGAAGCTAGCGTCAGTATAGCAACTCAAGAGCATCTCACCACTCTTCACATCTGCAGCACCTCTCTGCAACCGCTGCCTCACTCCACTGTACTCCAATCCCACTGATGCCGTAGCACTCACATAGCGGACCAACCTCTTGGCCGCTTCCAGCTGCTCATGACTAGGACGTGAAACCACGCTAGCCAGTCGTGATGTAGCAAATGCAATGTCAGGCCGTGTATGATTTGCAGCATAATTCAGCGACCCAACCATCGAATGAAACAGCTTCCTGTCACTATCACCCACTACCTCCTCATCAGCACATGGCTCCACAGTAAACCCTGAAGGTAGTGGTGTTGCTGGCTTTCCCCCATCTTGCAGCCCATACTTCTCAGCCAGCCCCTCACAGTACTTCCTCTGGTGCAACCTCAGCACACCCTTTTCCACATCTCTCTCCACATGCATCCCCAAGTAGTACTTCGCCTCACCCATCTTGGAGCACTTGAACTGCATCTCCAGCATCTGCTCTGCGCTGTCCAGCAAAGCAGTTGATGCAGAAAAGAGAAGGATATCATCCACATACACCAAGAGCATGAGGATTTCGTCCTTCTCCTGCAGCAGGAACAGGCTGGGGTCACACTCACTCTTCTTGAAACCCCCAGCCAGCAGCGCCTCCTCCAACTTGTGATACCATGCACGAGGCGCCTGCTTAAGGCCATAGATGGCCTTCTTCAGCCTGCAGACCCTGCCGCTCCCATCATCCAGCCCCTCTGGCTGCTTCATGTACACCTCCTCCAGAATGATCCCATTCAGAAAGGCAGTCACAATGTCCATCTGCCGAATCTTCCATCCCAGGAGTGCAGCTATCGCCAACAGCACCCTCAATGTTGTTCCTTTCCCCACAGGAGCAAACACCTCATCATAGTCCTTCCCCTTTGTCTGCTGAAACCCCCGTGCCACAAGCCTAGACTTGTAGCGGGTCAGCTCCCCTTCAGGTCCATACTTGTGCCTGTAGATCATCTTGGAAGTGATTGCCTTCTTCCCAGGAGGCAAGTCACACAGGTCCCATGTCTCGTTTTCAATCAGGGACCCGAACTCCTCATCCTCACTCGCCTTCCACTTCTCCCCATTTGGTCCATTCAAGGCCTCCTCTCGAGTCTTGGGCTCAGGGATTGGTGCCCAGTAGCAGTGAGCGATCTCATCTTCCTCAATCTGCTCAACCACACTCCCAGCCTGCACCACATTTGGCTTGCCTCTTCCCCCATAGGTCAGCCTCACCGGAGGGCGCACATCCCTCCTAGGTCGCTCAGGCGGGTGTGGAACTCGAGATGGAGACTCATGCTGCTGCTGCTGCTGCTGCTCTACTTCAGCTGCTCCCCCTTCCTCAGTCACCCCAGACATCTCCTCCTCTGACACTGCAACCTCCACCTGTCTTGAAGGCTGCTGCACCTCGTCTGCCTCCACAATGAGCGGTGTAGATGGAAGCTTCTGTTGCTGCTGCTTCCATTCCTTGTAGTACAGGGACTCCAGAAACTTCACATCCCTTGACACTGTCAGCTTCTGGGTGGTCAAGTCCCATAGCAGCCAACCCTTGTGATCCTTTGCAATCCCCAAGTGCACACCCCATCTTCCAGAAGCCTCCAACTTCCCCCTTTTCTCCTTAGGCACATCAAACACCACCATGCACCCAAATGCCCTCAGCATGTTCACAGCTGGAGCACTCCCATACCACTTGACATATGGGATCCACTCCTTATCTCCAACTGTAGCCAGCACCCTGTTCTTCACAAGGGCGACCTGCCTCAGTGCAGACACCCAAAATGGATCAGGCAGCCCTGCACGCCCAAGAAGAGTGCGTGCCCCCTCCTGCAGGGTCCTGTTGAACCTCTCAGCCACGCCATTCTGCTGCGGGTTGTAGGGCACTGTCAGTTGATGCTGGATCCCCTTCCTCTTCAACTCCCCCTCAAAATCAGCTCCAATGAACTCCCCACCATTGTCACTACGGATCACCTTCACCTTGTATCCGCATTCCCTCTGAGCTCTAGGCATCCACTCCTTAAGGACAGCCGCTGCCACCTCCCCCTTGCTCTTCAAAGGGTAAACCCACACTGCCCGAGTGTGGTCATCCACAATTGTCAAGAAATAGCGGCTGCCTGAGAGGGAAGGGGCTCTTGTGGGCCCCACCACATCCATGTGCACAAGTGCAAGTGGGGTCTTGGCTGGTCCTGTAGTGCTGTTGAAGGGGAACTTGGAGAACTTGGTCTCCAAGCATGTAGGGCAGCTCCCAATCTCCTTCACTTCCCCTTTCACCTCCAAGCCCTTCAGGCTCCCATTCTTCACCAACTTCTGCAGCATAGGGAAGTTCACATGACACAACCTCTCATGCCATGTCTCCCAATCGGCCTCTCCACTCCTTGATGAAGCCTTAGCCCATGCCGCACTCGCATCCACACCAGCAAGCACCTCACCATGTGTCTGCTGCTTCTGCACTTTCTTGACTGCTTCCAGCACCCCATCAGTTGGTGCAGTTGCATCTCCTCCTGCTGTTGCCTTTGCCACTGCTGCCGTTGCTGCTGTTGGAGTCTTCCCATTCCAAGGGATGATGGGCAGCTGCCACAGGTCCTTGATGCAGCTGGTCTCCTCTTCCAGACTCCACAGCACCTTCTTCCCAAGCTTAGCACGGCAGCTGGTTGGTCCAAAGGTCACTTCGGCCTTACTCTTCTGCAGCCGCCGCACAGAGAGAAGGTTAGCAGACAAGCCTTTAACCAGCAGAACATTCCCAAGCCCCACAAGCTCCCCATTAGCTCCCTTAACCTTGGCATTCCCAACACCAATCACGGGGAGCAAAGCACCTGACGCTGCTGCCACATACTTAATCTTCCCAGGGGGTTTTACCTCATCAAGCAAATCTGCCCGTGGGGTCATGTGACTGGTGCAACCCGAATCAATCACCCAGTGCGTGAGAGGGTGCATCACAACCTTTCCCACAAATCCCACATCACCCTCATGCCCATGCACATCCTCAACCATAAGAAACAAACCAGGATAGGCATTACCTTGTGCACCTTCACCTTGTGCACCTGAGCCTTGCACAGCGCCACCTTGTGCGCGTTCACCACTGGGTGGCTTCATGCCTGGAGGTGCCCATCCCTCCGGCCTGCTGAAGCACTTGAACCAAGGATGCCCTATCTTCTTGCAGTACCAGCAGGTGCCCTCCATTCTGGTACTCCCCCTGCCACTAGAGCTCCCATGCCCCTCATTATAGTCACCTCGGCCTCTACCTCTGCCAAAGCTCCTCCCACGGCCTCGGCCTCTCCAACCCCCTCTTCCTCTGCCGCGCCCTGCAGCTCCATACCCCTCAGCAGTCTTAGTGGCAGCACCGCCTCCCACATGGCGTCTGCGGAAGTCCTCCTGCAGAATCTGCTGCCTTAGCCACTCAGGTGTCCATTGATCTTGTTGAGAGTTGAGGGTGGGGATGAGGTTGTCCCAAGAGTTGTCCAACACCGAGATGATCTTGGTGCACTGCTGCAGCTGAGATACACTGCTGCCCGCTGCTGCCATCCTTGCATAGGTGTCCTTGATCTTGTCAAGGACCGGCTTCACATCGTCCCCTGGTTGCATGGAGATGGCAGCAAGTTCCTTCTCGAGCACGATCACCATCAGGAGAGTGTTGGGCTGAACCACATCACGTAGTAGTTTCCACGCCCTTGGACCCGAATCATCCGCTTCCACAAGATCCTTGATGTGCTCGAACATCTCCTTGTTGACCGATTGAAGAATGAGGTCGAAAAGCACCGCGCTTTTCTCAATCCACCGTTCACGTGCTTCGCCTTCTTCCGGCATCTTCTCTTCCCCAACAGCAATCTTCAGTAGCTTGTAGCGTTTGAAGGCACTCCTCATCCGTCCGCTCCATTCCTCATAGTTGGAGCCATCCAAAGCTTCAACTTTTGATGGCGGCGGCTCACTTGTCTTCTCAGCTACAGCTCCTCTTCCATTAGCATCTCCTCCTCTCTCATTCATCTTCTCCTTGAGAAATGACGAATTTCAGCTCCCCTTTGCTGTCCACACTCAGCTCCCTCGATATTTTCACAAGTATCGGCGTCCACGAAATTTCGGCAGAGTTTCCCCTTAGCGGAAGACACATCCAACCTTTAGAACACCACTTAGGCACACCCACAGGCCATGGTGGGTCTAGAAGGGTCTTCACACTTCTGTAGACTCCTCTCAATGTCCTTAATATGGCTCTGATACCACTTGTTAGGATTAAGGACAGAGTCTAGGTGAACTTAGGAGCTAGAATTACTCAAAATATAAATCCGAAATTCTGGACAGAAAAGTCGTCTTCACAAGAAACGACGTCGACAAAACACTAGCGGTTGGAATGTCGCGAAACTTGGATATGTTGTAGCTCTTGATCTCAGCTACCGTTCCCAATTTGAATCACGTTGATTGATGAAGTATTCGCGACGCTATGGCTTTCGACGCATTAGGGGGTAAGCTGTAGGAGGAGAACTTAACTCAATCTCAAAGGTTCAATCAAAGTTCAAGAATCTCACAAGGAATTTAGAGGAGCAAGAGAAAGGTTGGGATAGAAGAGAGGGATGAGAGGAAAGGTCCCAAGAGAGTCCCCAACCAAGGAAACCCCATAAGCACAAAGATTCCCTCCCTATAGGAACCTCAACTTTGACCTTTGTCCCTTCCCAACCAATCCATCCAAGTTGGCCACCCTTGCCAACCTAGCTTGGTTGTTCCCAACCTATTTGCAGCTGTTACAGTAGAGTGATAACATGGGATGGGAGGCAGACAGAATGTGATAGCATATGATGACATCACACAACAATTTCGTCACCTCGTGTGGTACATGTCAGCGGATGAAGAGCAGCAAGCAGAAAAAGGCGGGACTACTGCAGCCTCTTCCTGTCCCAGAACAACCATGGCAAGTGGTTAGCCTAGACTTCATCACCGGGTTACCACCTACCTCCAGCAGTCATGACGCCATCCTTGTCGTCATTGACAAGTTCTCCAAAATGGGACACTTCATCCCGACACACACGACGGCACGCACCGAGGAGACAGCACAGCTCTTCGTTCGTCACATCATCTCACAGCATGGCATCCCAACTACACTCATCTCCGACCGAGACCCCAAGTTCACTAGCAAGTTCTGGAAGGAACTTATGTCTCTGCTCGGCACCAAACTCGCCATGTCATCCGCATACCACCCGCAGACAGACGGACAGACCGAGCGCCTCAACCAAATTGTTGAGCAACTCCTCCGAGCAGCCTGCAAGGACGACATCTCCAAATGGGACTTGCACCTGCCCGTACTCGAGTTTGCTTACAACAATGCCACACATGCCGCTACTGGACAGACGCCGTTCTTCCTCTGCTACGGACGCCACCCACTCACACCACAGAAACCGACAACACCAGCAACAGTCCAACCTGCACACGACTTCATCACAACCATGCATCAACTTTGGGATCGGACCCATAAGCGCCTCCTTGACATTCAACAACAACAAAAGCGCCAGGCCGATCGCCATCGCAACGACCACACCATTTCCGTGGGAGACCAGGTTCTCCTTGACACCCGCAACCTGGACATCAGCCATCTCCCATCTAAACTGCGACCTCGCTTCTGCGGGCCTTTTCTCGTTGAAGCACAGGTCACTCCTGTTACCTTCCGCTTACACCTGCCAGCTACCTGGAAGATTCACAACGCCTTCCACGTCCAACTTCTGAAGCCCTATCGGGACCCGAACACAATTTTCGTCGGACGCCAGCCGCCGCCGCCGCCGCCCGTCCTCGTCCAGAACGAACCCGAGTACGAGGTCGAGTCCGTGCTTGCACATCGTCGTCGTCGGAATGGCACCGTGGAGCTTCTTATTCGTTGGAAGGGCTATGATCCTTCTGAGGACAGCTGGGTCTCTGAGTCCGACATGGGTAACGCCCGTCGTCCTCTACATGACTACCTTGTCAAGCAGGGTGTTACTTCTACCACCCAGCTTTGAGGGGGGGAAGTGTGAGAGTACGACTCCGTTACACCACTTGGCCTTTTCCATATTTCATCTTCATTTCATTCCTCTTTTTATCTCACCTCCTTTTGCCTCATATTCCCCATTTTCCATTATCCTTTGGTTTTCTTCCTTTATTATTATTATATCACCGACCAGGCATGGAATGTTCTAGACACGCTATCTAGCGTAATCCTGCTGTAATCCCTTAAAGCCAATAGCCTCGCGTGGCTATACGCAGGGTGATTCTATCTTCTAGAAGGGTCTATTCCCTTAGGATAAGATAAACCTGGTTACCTGATGTACTCTGGAAGTATAAAAGCGCCTTGTACTGATCGATAGTGCAACCTTTCCTCGACACATTCGATCCTGTGACAGCTGATGTAGGCACACCTGTTGAAGCAGAAGGGTCATGCTGCCTCAAGAATACGAGATGATTGGCTGCCGTTCATCGAGCAACAATCTGGCGTGCGTGCAGCAGCATCAGAACCGACTGAGGTGGAACGTTTCTGGGAGAAGATTTGACAGCGTGGCTCAAGAAACAAGGCATTGAGCATCAGCTGATGACGTCTTACACCCCTCAATCAAATGGCATTGCTTAGAGGGCTAATAGGACCATCCTGGAAACTGCGGGAGTGCTGTTGATCGAACCAAGGCTTGGGAACTCCATGTGGCCTCATGCGGTGAGGCATGCTACAGTGGCAAGGAACCGTGCACTCACAAAGGTGGCTGATGATATGTGAGACTGCTGGCAAGGTGACTTGGAAATTAACCTCCAATGGACATTCTCAGAATTTCCAATTGCATGGCAGTAGCGCATGTCCCTAAACCATATAGTACTAAGCTTGGAGCATTTGCACTGTGGTGTGTGCACCTTGGGTTTGTGGCAGAGAGCAAGGGGTGGCTACTCTGGAAGCCCTCAAAGAATGTGCTCTTTCACAGTCGGGATGTGAACTTTGTAAAGAACATCGTGTATGGCAAGTGGGAGAAGCAGCCGGAGGCAAGGGTATCCCAACAGCTGGAAGAAATCACTATGCACTTCGACTTGTCTGAACCTGATGACAGCGAAGTCACTGTGCCAACGGCAAGCGGTACTGAAGAAGGAAGCAATGAGGATATTGCAGCTGATGCTAAAGTCAAGGAACCGGAGTAGCAGCAACAAGAGGCTTCCAAAGCACCAAGTCTGCCAAAGCGAAGGAAGCAGACTGGTGGGAAAAGAAGGATTGGGTGAAGGTGAAAGAATGGGTAAATCAACCATCTACCCTGCTCGTACCAGAATGGCAATGAGAAAGCTGCTGAACTCTAGAATGGAGAAGCCACAACAGAGCAGCACCAACAAGCTCAAGACGAAGATACAGTATTGTTCTTGCGTGATGACGGTCGTGTCTGGAAACTCAACAGGCCATCTATGGCTCGAAGTAGGCACCGAGATGCTGGGCGCACTGGAAGGAATTGGATTCCGTGCGAGTGCATGCGACGAGAGCCTATTCTTGATGGGCGAGGGGGAGTTGATTGTGCTTTTGCTGGTGTACGTGGATGACATCTTCCTTTTCAGCAGCAGCGACAAGGAGATTGATGGGTGCAGCGGAAGCTCACAGAACAGTTCAAGTGCAAATCACTTGGGGAGGCAAGGTACTACTCGGGAATGCACATTGAGAGGGATGCTGAACGTGGCTGGCTCAAACTGCATCAGGGACAGTACATCAACACATTGGCTGAAAAGTACTCTCTGTAGGAAGAACGGAAAGTGGCTACTCCTTTGCCTTCCGAGTTCAAACTCATTAAGGCAGCTGAAGGAGGAGTTGAGAGTGAAGACCAGAGGCAATTCCAATCCAGGGTCAGGAGCCTACTCTACGTTGCTGTGCATACTCGGCCTGACATCAGCTTTGCTGTGGGACAGCTGGCTCGAGTAGTTCAAAATCCAACAGAAGAGCAGTGTAGTGCAGTGGCGAGAGTGGTGCGTTATCTCAAGTCTTACCCTACAGTGCGAGTACAGTATTCAGCCTTTGCTCAACTCAGGCAAAAGGGAGTTGAAGTTCTCAAAGCAGGAAAGGTGTTCCTTTCCTGTTTTGCTGATGCCAGATGGGCTTCTGAGCTTGAGGATTCATCGTCAGTTGGTGGATACATCCGCATGGTGGGAGGTGGGCCTGTAAGTTGCCACTGCCCGAACCCCCTCGTTCTTGGGTTCGCCACACCAGATGCATTGCCAGTTCCGCGGCGTTCTCCATTGTTCTAGTAGGGTATCGGGTCCTAGATCTGAGTTGATGTAGATAAGAATCCCCACCTTTCTGCGTCATTCCACGAGCTTGCACTTGCGTTTTGTGTATTACCTCTTGATCAGTCCTGCAGCCTTTTTCACTTGTTTACAACTAGCCTCAGCTCGGCACTCTGCCTACTGAACAATTAGCTGATTAACGTGCTTTTGAAGGTTTCTCAGCAGTGGAGACGAATTCAGCGTTGAGGACGTAAACAAGCAAAAAAACTAGGGAAGCAAACTATGGTACACCTTTTGAACTGTGGACGTCCCCTAGGGATGACCGCTGCATACACCCCAGCGTGATGGCTCGAAAAGTTCTATGCTTCCCGGATTGCTTTGCATGTCGCAGTGCCATTTGGCTGAGGCTAGCTTGCTTTTTTGCCCTCGGTCCATATCCCTGTTATAATCACAATAGGCTTAGAAGTACCTATAATGAGAGATAGAGAGCACAGTCAGATTTCCGTCAGACGGCTTCAAATATTGATAAAGATTTGGTCGCTGAATCAAATTGTGATCTATAAATTGGATCTAAAGCGCGTTGCTGTCGTCTATCAGCAGCAAGTTGAATCATGAAATTCCATGAAGATTTGACGACGCTATGGCGGTTTTACTGGCAGGAGGTATAGCAGCCACTAAAGTCTTGGAAGTACAAACTTAGCAAGAAGAGTTCGAAAGGGGGATGGTTCCAGCCTCTACATACCCCAAGAGCCGAGGTCCAGGTTGGTGGTACACCACCACAGAGTCCCCAACCATGGAGAGTCTCGAAACCAACCCTCCAAGGGGGTACACCAAGTGAAATGTAACACTACACGAAGTAACGTTACTATTTTCACTATTTAATATTTATCCGCGTCCCTTGGGCTTGAAATCTTGAGCTCTTGTTCTTGGATCTGCAAGATAAATTCTTCTTGAGTTGATGGGGGCTTGCTGCACACACCTGCGACACGATGGACACTTCACACTCGACAAAATAGAAAAAACACATGCGACACACAAACGACGACTTGACATGCGAGTTGTAAAAACTCGCTAATGTCTTGACCGACACAAACCACATTGTGATACACCATTCAAACACACACACAAGCACTGGATAGCAATGAAATAGACTCACAATTCATTCCATGCCATGCATGCACACACACAAACAAGGACGACAAGCCGAGTGCAAGCCATAGGGTTGCACCAACAAACTCCCCCTCGGATTGTTGGCCTTAGAATCTGCTCCCCTTAGTTCAGAGCCATCCCAGCAAGCTTGCAACACTTCCAATGCTGCTGCTCAACCAGCCTCTTGGTCATCATATCAGCAGGCTGCGCCGTCGTCTTCACATAGTGCAACTCCACTTCACCCGCGGTTACCATGCTCCTCACCCAATGCCACTTCACCTTCATGTGCTTGGTAAGGCCATGAAGAACGGGGTTCTTAGCCAATGCAATAGCACCCTGGCTATCACAGTAGAGTGGGGTAGGTCCTTGCTGCTCCTCCCCCAATTCAGCTAGCAAACGCCGCTGCCACACAACCTCTCTTATGGCACGGAAGAGTGCCATGTACTCGGACTCCACCGAGCTCAATGCTTGGTCCACTTGTTTCTTGCTCTCCCAAGCTGTTGGCCCTCCACCAACACAGCAGATGAAGCCTCCCACACTTGTCATGTCCTCTGGTTCTGATGCCCAAGATGCATCAGAGAAGGCGGTGAGAAAGAGCCTCCCGGGTTCGACTCCATCCGCACCCTTTTGACGCCTTTGTGCCGCCGCGGAGTATTGCAGTCCAACAGTTGCTGTTTGGCCAAGGTACTTGGCCACCCTCTCTCCAGCTGCTACCTGCTCCTCATTAGGGCATTGGACAACCCTAGCCAGCTGCCCAGTAGCAAAGGCTGCATCCGGCCTTGTGTGAACGGCCGCATACATGAGGCTGCCCACCAAGGAGTGAAAACACCGCCTCTCCTCTTCATCAACACTTTCCTTCGCTGGTCCTTTCACACACTTGAACCCTGAGGGAAGAGGAGTAGCCACATGACCTTCACTCTTCCCAAAGTTTGCAGCCAAGGCCTCCAAGTACTTCTTTTGATGCACTCGCATCCACCGCTTCTCCACATCTCGCTCAATGTGAAGCCCAAGGTAGTAGTTGACGTCACCAAGGGTCTTGCACTTGAACTTGTCTTGAAGCTTCAGCATCACCTCCTTCACAAGGTCAGAGGAGGGTGAGAATATGAGGATGTCATCCACATAAACCACCATGAAGCTCCTCTGCTCCCCCTCGCCAAGCATGAACAAGGATTGATCGGCCGTTGAGGGAGTGAAGCCGATCGCCTCCAAGACTTCCCGCAGCTTGATGTACCATTGCCTAGGGGCTTTCTTGAGGCCATAGAGTGCTTTCTTCAGCTTCCACACTCTGCCACTCCCATCATTGTACCCCTCTGGCTGCTCCATGTAGGTCTCTTCCTCCAAAACGCCGTTGAGGAAGGCCGTTACAATGTCCATTTGCTTCACCACCCATCCTTTGATGGCCGCCACGGCGAAGAGAGTTCGAAGGGTTGTACCCTTCACCACAGGAGCATATACTTCATTGTAGTCCTTCTTCTCCTGCTGCTGGTACCCCTTGGCTACAAGTCTGCTCTTGTAGCGCTCAATGTTGCCGTCGGCGTCGGTCTTGCGCTTGAAGAGCCACTTGGGAGAAATCGCCTTACGCCCCGGAGGTAGGTTCACCAAGTCAAACGTGTCGTTCTCGATGATGCTCCCCATTTCTTCATCTGAGGCCTTCTTCCACTCCTTCCCATTGGGGCCCTCCCAAGTCTCCTTGGGATTTGTAGGCTCCCCCGGTATCTCCACCGGAGAGAAGAAGGCAAAGGCGCACTCCTCGCTTTCATCTTCCGCATCATCCCCTAGCATGAGAGCCGAACCGGTCAAGGTTGAATTGGCTGGTCCTCCAAGCCGTTCATAGCTCAACCTATTGGGGGGCTGAGTCCTCCTTCTCCCCCTTCCTTCCTCCTCTGCTGCAGGGACTTGAATGCTCTCATGGCTTTGCGGTAAGTCCGGTCGGTTCCCGCGAGCACTTGTAGCACGAGGCGGAAGTGGCGGTGTACGCTCATCACCTTGTTGCACCTCCTCCTCCTCCTCATCCCCATTCATTTGGGGAGATTGCGTCGTGATTGTGCTGCTGCTACTCAGCTCCAAGAACAGCTCTACATGCTCCAAGCCGGTCCTCTTCACCTCTCCAAGCCGCACACCAATCTTCGCTTGGTTCTCCGCCTTCCACTCCTTGTACGGTAAGTTCTCCATGAACTTGCAATCTCTGCTCACCAGGAACTTCTTGGTAAATGGGTCCCATAGAAGCCATCCCTTGCTGTTTTGGGCCATGCCCAGGTGCACGGCCCATGTTGCCTTGGCATCAAGCTTGTTGTGCCGAAGTTTCTTAGGCACAAGTGCCATGCACATGCACCCGAACACCCGAAGCATATCCACCTTCGGCTTCCTTCCAATCCACTCCACATAGGGCACCCATTTTTCTTCTCCCACATGAGTCAAGGCTCTGTTGTTGGCCACACAAGCATGCCGCACCGCATCCGGCCAAAAGTAATTGGGAAGACCAGCTTCAATGAGAAGTCCCTGAGCTGTCTCCGTGAGTGTCCGATTCGCACGCTCGGCGATGCCGTTCATTGCAGGAGAGTAGGGCATGGTAAGAGAGTGCCTTATGCCCTGCTTCCTCAGCCAAGTTGAGAAGTCCTTGCTCAGGAACTCTCCCCCACGGCCAGTGCGAATCGCCTTCACAAGTCGGTCTTGTTGCCGCTCCACCATCGGCAACCAATCGGTCTTCACCGTTTCGGCTACGTCACTCTTCTTGGGCAGCACATACACCCAGGTCATGCGAGTGTAGACGTCCACAATGGTGAGGAAGTACTCTGATCCAGCAGCTCCAAGCTTCAAGGGGCCCACCACATCCATCACCACCTCATCAAGTGGTGCCTTTGACTTTGTCTCCGAGCTATGGAACGGGTAGCGGGTGAACTTGACTTGCATGCATGTTGGACAGCCAAGCACCTCATTGGGCTCCCTCTTGACACGTATCCCACTGACCATCTCTTGCTTAACAATCTGCTGCAAAATGGGCAATGCCACATGCCCCATTCGCCGATGCAAGGTCAGCCAATCACACTCTCCCGTAGCGGAAGTCGGGTTGGAGAAAGCGGCACTCGCAATTGTGCCCCACAAGCTCTCTCCTTTCTCCTTCGCAGCTGCTGCTTTGTTGATCTTAGCCTTCTCCTCCTCATTTCCACCACCTTTGGCTGCTGCACCATTCTCCTTGGGTTCACACGCCTTGCTGGTCTCTCCAAGGTTGCACTCCTTCGAGTCACTCTTCGTGTCACTTTGCTTTCCGTGATCACCGCCACCAACCGCTTCACGCTTGGTGCTGACGCTTGCTGCCACTTTCCTCCCTTTAGGCATGGGGACCACTGGAATTTGCCACATCTCATTGTAGATGTCCCTGTCCTCATGAAGGTCCCAAAGCTTTCGCTCACCAAGCCTTGCGGTATAGGTTTTGGATCCCTTGGAAGATGTGTCCATGCCGGTCTTTTGCAAACGCCGAACGGAAATCAGGTTGGCTGCAAGGTTGGGCACCAAAAGCACGTTCTTGAGGCCCACCATCTTCCTATCAGCACCCTTGAACATGGCCTTGCCCATGCCCTTCACCTCTGCTCGCTGCCCCAAAGCCGATGTAACATGCTTGACCGGCGACGGTTCGAGTTCAGGGAGCAAGTCCGCACGAGGTGTCATGCTGTAGGTGGCGCCGCTATCGATCACCCAAAAGTCCAGAGAGTAAAGGGTGACCTTTCCCACAGTAGCTGGCTCCTCAAAGCCTTCCACACCTCCTGCTGCAGCTGCCGCTTGCGTGGAGACAAAGAAGAATTGGCCCGGGTATCGATCTTCACTCGAGTCCTTGTCGTAGTCTCCACCTTTCATGCTTGCCGCTTCGCTTCCACGACCACCACGGCCTCCACGACCTCTGCCTTTCCTCCCCTTGCTCGTCTACCCTCTTGGAAATGAGAAGGGGTCCATCCATCAGGCAATCTGTAGCAATCTCTCCACATGTGGCCGGTCTTGTGGCAAAAGTGGCATTCACCATCAAATCGACCGCGCCCACGCCCGTAGCCATTGTTGTTGTTGTTGCTGCCATATCCTCCATTACCACGGCCTCCATTGAAGTTACTGCTGCCAAATCTTCCTCCTCGCCCTCTTCCCCTTCAACGGTCGTGCCCACGGCCCATGCTTGCAACTCCGGCACCATCTGGACCCGCCAATTCGCGACGGCGGAAATCTTCTTGTAAGATTTCCCGCTTCACATCTTCGAGTGAGAGATGGGGCACATCTCGATTTAGGTTGATGATGAGCGAGGACCATGAGTCCGGAAGTAAGGCCAGCAGCTTGGTCTTCTTTTGAAGGTCACTGTAGGGGGTCCAAGGCTAGGTTGCACCGAAGCAACGGGTGGATCTTGGTATTGACCTTGTGCTTGGGCGTCCTCTCTGCCTCCAGCACCTCTGCCACCCCCTTCCTCAGGTCTAGGCATGGTCGAGACGTCTCCAAGGGGCTCTGATACCACTTGTTATAGTCACAATAGGCGCAGATGTGCCTATAATGAGAGATAGAGAGCACAGTCGGATTTCCGTCAGACGGCTTCAAATATTGATAACGATCTGCTGGCTGACTTAAACGGTGATCTGTAAATTGGATCTGGAGCGAGTTGCTCTAGTCTATCAGCAGCAAGTTGAATCATGAAATTCCACGAAGATTTGAGGACGCTATGGCGGTTTGACTGGCAGGAGGTATAGCAGCCACTATAGTCTTGGAAGAAGAGTACGAGATGGAGATGGTTCCCAGCCTCTACATACCCCAAGAGCCGAGGTCCAGGTTGGTGGTACACCACCACAGAGTCCCCAACCATGGAGAGTCTCGAAACCAACCCTCCAAGGGGCTACACGAAGTGAAATGTAACACTACACGAAGGAACGTTACTATTTTCACTATTTAATATTTATCCGCGTCCCTTGGGCTTGAAATCTTGAGCTCTTGTTCTTGGATCTGCAAGATAAATTCTTCTTGAGTTGATGGGGGCTTGCTGCACACACCTGCGACACGATGGACACTTCCCACTCGACAAAATAGAAAAAACACATGCGACACACAAACGACGACTTGACATGCGAGTTGTAAAAACTCGCTAATGTCTTGACCGACACAAACCACATTGTGATACACCATTCAAACACACACACAAGCACTGGATAGCAATGACATAGACTCACAATTCATTCCATGCCATGCATGCACACACACAAACAAGGACGACAAGCCGAGTGCAAGCCATAGGGTTGCACCAACAATCCCTTGGGTCCAACCCACCCTCCTTCCTTACTAGCTGTTGCGGAACTCTACAGGATGCTACACCT